TGCATATACAGGCCATACCATTTAAATTATTCTCAAGTACACAGTAATGCAGTTGGATATGTAATAATCGTATCTTACATGATTTATATTCTGCCTTATTATAATTCAGAAAGTGAATTCCAAGCGGAAACGTTAGTTTTATACAAATATTTTTTAAAATAGAATCTGAAGCGTGCTGTAGTCACATCTTCAGCCCTCTTCCTCTACCCGTTTTCATTACCATAGAATCATGTCCTCAAGCACAACTAATTCAGATCTAACAAGGGTTGACACCCACTTCAGAACCATATTTTATTGTCAGCGATCATCTCTTGCAAGTAGCAGGAACATGATGAGGATGCAATTCTCGAACCTGTGCTGCCATCTGCTGCACAGTTATTAGTCGGAAATTGTGGAACGCTTTTTTGAAAGCGTATTTCTCAACTGGTTTAATGTTGATGGAAACCTTCTATTCAGATGAAGTGCACTGATGGAGGTAAAACACTAATACAGGAAGCTGCTGGAAGCAAATTAATTGCTATGTCATATGCACAATTTATATAATCAAAATCGTAACAACTTTCCGTAAAAAGTAATTTCTTCACCAAACACTTTATATTCACAGGGGCCTATGAAATGGCCATGTGGCCTTTCTGTCCAATCTCGACCACTTGTCGAGGTTTAGAAGCAATGTGTGCCATTGCCTGAACAAGGGATGACTCAAACGCCTTTGGACATGCCCTGATATCTTAGGATTTAATCAGGATATTACAGACTTTAACCGTATTTGTGGCAAGGGGGGTGACCCTTTCAGTTGACAACCCTACTGCGTCCAAGACCACAAGGATGAACAATATACCAGCACGCTCTGCTACAAACCTGTGGCATAGGACTCTCCTCTTCCTGGTAGATATGGGACATCTCTGGCCATACGTTGAAAGTGAAGGAGTGGGAATGAGGTCACGTGGTCTCTGTTTTTCGTTAACCCACCATGAAATAGCGATGGCACTGTCGGCCGGGGAGAAGGGATAGGGGAGTCATGACGGACTCCGGAAACTCCGTCACCCTCCTGTTTAAATAAGCGATCGTTGCTCCTGGTAAAAAAAAAAAACCCATAACTCTGACGTCGCAGTTATTTTATGTTTGGGCTTTGTTTGGTTACATTGTCTCCCCCTCTCCTTCCCAGCCCTTTTCCCCGATCTCCTCCCCTCCCCTTCGAAATACCCTGTCCCGTATTGTTTCCCCTGCCATGATATGGCGGCTAGCCGACGTGCTCTCTAATCACGATGGTGTAGTAACTCGTTGTCAACCGTTCGTTGTTATATTTTCGCCCTTCGTTCTGTACCCTTGGCTCTCGAAGAAAAAAATGTGTAAAAGTTTTATTTCAGTGGAGCGCCCTCAATAGTGTGATCAACATATGGATCGTGTGGATATTTCCTCTATGAATGGAAGATCAAAGACACGCTAAACTACAAATGTGGCGAGTCGCACACCATAAAGCACATTGCTGATGATTGCCCAATGCACGTGTATTCTGGTGGAATAAATGGATGCTGTGGAATGGCTTACAAAAATAATACAATAGGAGCCTGTTGCTTTTTTTAAACACCAGATGATAAAGATCACTAACAGTATGGAAAGAGAGAAGGCTCGCAGACCAGATGGAATAACTGTGAACGTCGCGTAAGCGGCACCAGCTGTTGAACCTTTTAACGTTTACATGGAAATTAAATGCCTCAAGCGTGTAATGATTCAACCATTCTTATATTCAAAATGGAGACAAAACAGATCCATTAGCCTTCAAAAAAATGGACACCATTTTCACGAAGATCCTAAGGAACCGAATAATGGACAACTTAAGAGGCCAATCAAGCACATGAGCAAAACATATTTGAAAAAGGTGCTATACTATTGACCATACAAATACTATTAATCAGATCCCAGAAATATTATTTTCATATATTACGCCCATCTTCTTGACATAACAAGGCAATCTATTCAGTGGAAACCGATGCATTCATTTAAGCACTTATAAATCAAGAGAACCACGTACTATAACGTAATTGATACACATGAACATCTATATTTGAATGGTAGGAAACCAATGCAGATGTAACCAAACAAATTCTGATTGTTGGGGCACATGTGCAGGTACTGGGAAAGGAAATGAAGTGAGCGCACACACACGAGGAGCAGTTGGCTACGTAAGGTGCGAAATCATTTTCAACATACATACAAGGGGTGAGGGATGGACCTAAAGCCAGATCATGGGATACAGTACTTGAACAGGAAACATTGTAGGTTGGGAATCTATTATGTTCACATGAATGGAATTATCTGTGAATAATCTAGTGTATAAATTGCATTTCCTTTATATTCAACATTGGAATTTATATTTCGTAGATATCTAAACCAAACCTTAAAATGCAAACTACCTGTTTAAAAACGTTCTGACCACGAAGCCATTCCGAAAAAAAGTGCATCTTACATACCGCTATATTGAGAAAATGAATTCTTCTCACATAGCGTACCTTATTTGTATTTGATAAATTAACTAAGTACAGTAGACCCTTGGATATCACGGGAGTTAGGTTTTTTAAAAGTGCCGCGAAAGTCAAAACCGTGACATTCAATACCTAAGCCTTTGCCTAAACAATGTCATTTAAAGCTTTCGTGACTGCAGGGATTCATATTCTTGGTTCTTTCGGTAAAGTCACGTAGAAGGGAAACAATAAAATAATAAAAATATAAAACAATAAAATGCTCACGACGTTTCGACTGCAACACAAGCAATCATCATCAGGTGTGAAAACCACAGCAAGAAAATTTGAAAAACCATTTCGGGTCTTAATTGTTCACGCTTACGGTGGCTTTCAGACCGCATCCATTATTTTCGTCTCCCCCCTCCTCTTTTCCAAACATAGATGGACTCTGATTTAAAGCTTTCGTGACTGCAGTAATTCATATTCTTAGTTTTTTCGGTAAAGTCACGTTGAAGAGAAACAACAAAATAATAAAATATATATAAAACAATAAAAAATTCTCACGACGTTTCGACCATAACTCAAACGGTCGTCTTCAGGTGTGTTGGTTCGCATAAATTTAGTTATTATTTTGTTGTTTCTCTTCAACGTGACTTTACCGAAAAAACTAAGAATATAGATGGACTCGTCCATCTGCTTAACTGCCAAATCGCTCTCCGTGGTGCTAACGTAAAAAAACCCCACCACTTTTTTCAAATTTTCTTGCGGTGGTTTTCACACCTGATGATGATTGCTTGTGTTGCAGTCGAAACGTCGTGAGAATTTTATTGTTTTATATTTTTATTATTTTATTGTTTCCCTTCTACGTGACTTTACCGCAAGAACTAAGAATACTAAACAATGTGGTTAAGTTCACGGCAACCTAAAATAGACACATCACAATTGGAAGCACTGTAGTGCATGCCAAATAAACTAAAACAAAAAAATGAAATAAACATACAAAATCCAAATAAAACATTCCGAGACAATAATTAGCATAAATACTGCAATTACCGATGATGATCCAAAGCCGGTGTGTATTTGTCCGCGAGTGGGGAGCGGTGGCGCTACAATTAGCACACCCTACTGCAAACCCGGCTACCCGAGTTTGATCCCCGCTCACGTCCAACACTAATGACGATGATCTTAATCGGTTATGGGTCTCCCCTAGGGCGGCTCAGCCTCAAATGAGTACCTGGTGCAAAGTGTAAACATTGTTCCTGGAGAGACAAAGGCGGCCGGTGGTGCTGGCCACCGACCTCCTCGTGTGCCGTTCCGGCCTTCATAGGTGCTGCTTGTCTGACAGCACTTTCCCCAACAGTCTCTTATTCTTGGCTCTTTCGGTAAAGCAACGTCGATAGAATGTTTTTATTATTATTTTAAATTGTATTATTTTTTAATCTACGCGACTTTACCAAAAGAACCAAGAATATGAATTCCTGCAGTCACGAAAGTTAAGTCAAAATTTGTATCCAACAGTCCCTGTTAAATCTTAATTTGAAGCTTTCGTGACTGCAGAAATCCATACTCTTTGGTTCTTTCGGTAAAGTCACGTAGGTATAAAATAAATCACGACGTTTTAGGCGCAACACAAGCGTACGTCATCAGGTGGGAAAGCATGATCTGCTGCTGAGGCAGACTGTTTTAAAAAGGTTTGAAATGGGTGTAGCCCAAGAGTCTCTGTCGTGGGAGTCTGTCTGCGAGATGCTTGCACGGCACAGGTTGAGTGTCACTGACTATCCCTCGCCCCACGGTATCAGCAATGATACAATACTTCTGGGTACAGTATACCCGCGTAAGGCCAAAACTAAACCCCCGCAATAGGTAAAATGGTATCCCAAAAAGGTTGCCCGCAATAGGGCGAACCCGTCAACGTTAACCCCACGATATTAAAAGTTCTCCTGTATATACCGAGACTAACGACCAAAGTCAAAAAATCAAAGTGTATCCCCCCCCCCCTCCACGTGCACATTGCAAAACATATCCAAAAGAATAAAACATAATTTTGTCAAATGTTGACTAAAAACGCGCATTGAGGTCATTATTCCACGACTGCTGTCACACTTGTGAATTCCATTGGTAAAGCCATATGTGACTGATATTTCAGAATTACATTTTTTTGAAACGTTAATTTAAAATTAGTAAATATAACTGAATTGACGCTGTTTTTTTTAAGCATTTTGAATTCCAATTGTTGCTCTCAATATTGCCATGCATGTTAGTTTGGATTGCTAGCTAAATAGCCATTACACATAGTTCTGGTTGTTTATTGGTGATGTTTATAAACGTTGTTTTTGTTATATGCAATCTCTGTAAACCCTCCCTTCTCATACGTGCCTGCAGTTTCAGCTGTTTTGGTCAGGTCACCATTGAAACAGACCCTGTTAGCTCAATGGCCCTTAACCAAAATAACCCGCAAAACTGACTAATTGATGCCCTGTCAAGTGACTCAAGCGTCAGCTTAGGAAGGCGTAAGAAGGAACATTGTATTTGACAGCATTTCACTATTATTTCGACATTATTTTGTACGTAATAATTAATGTATTTACCCAAAAAATATTGTTCATGGAACATTTTTAAAGCTGTATGAGCATGTTAAAACTATTTAAAATAGTAATGGTAGCATGCATTACACTACAGAATTGATATACGTAAAAATAAGTCTATATGGCTTCAGATTATTATGCTTCTATCATTACAGCGAAAAAGGTTGGAAATACAATGTATTTTATTTTTAAACTTCAAGAATGCGCTGTACTTTCATAATGTTTCCCATTTATTAGCGTTAATATCAGTGGGAATCTCTCAAAAACAGACGAAATATTAAGTGGTAATGGTATTTTTCCAGTATACTGTAAATAATTAACAGCAATTTTACGAAATACGAATTAAATATACGTAACATTTAAATATTAATAACTATTAACTCTTGACAATTAAAAAAAACCCAATTGAACGTTGTAATGTTTTAGGAAAAGTAATATCCAAAAATGAGAAAGCGTAAGGTCACTACTAGCAGACAAAGTGATAGACTGAAACATTCGGTGAACCCATGGTCTCAAGGACCTTGCACAGAATACCACATCCTTCCACGCACAGCAATGGCTGAAAAAACAAATCAGCATGGCTCGAATTCTGATTTCACCCTGTTCAGCCACGAGAAGTTTTACTGCATACGTAATTATTTGCACATTTGAAAGAATAAACGGGAAAACCTCGCCAAACGCAGGAGTTATATTCGACAAGAGCTGTTGAGATAAATAGGAGTATGTTCCGGATTTCGAAATGATCACCCCCTCCCTCTTTGCTTAACTAATTCTACACGATGCCTGCCCTTGTAATTGTAATAAAGGATGCAGAGTCGCTCTCTATTACTTGAGTACGTACTCGTTCAATTTCACCTCAACATAAAACCCCCGTCTCCATTACTCTTCCGGCACTGCAGCAATCGTATGCCCAACGCTCGCCCTTGGCACTGAATTTGCCGGCCCGACGCTCCCCCCCCCCCCCAACACTGTTACTTGAACGTGAATGCTTTGCCATCTCGGTATCCCGTATGGTTGACGTACTCAACGAGTGGACGGCTATATGCATGCACCAATGTGTGAACATTTGCATTGCGCGTGAGTGTTGCGTTAGATTATCGCACGCAAAGAAAATACAAAAACGTACACACAAAAACACACGCTGAATAGTTTTCACAGTCGATTAATTCACACCTTAAGTGACTTTCAACGGATACAGCACGCACGTCTCGCAAGCCGAACAATAATCTTGGCAATGTCAAACCACGTATAGCCGAAACATCACCCTGTGGTTCGGAAAACAGACCTTATTAAACCATTTATATCTGAAACAAGCGTTTAATAAAATCACGATCGGTAAGGTTTTCCTGTGTAAGTCTGGGGTGATGGAGAGAGCCTGAGAGCCAGGAAGGATATGCCAGTGATTAAGGACAGTGCGTTCTTAAAGATTCTTACAGACTTATATGTCGTTTGTGAGTCTTCTTATGGACCTTCAGGTTGCAATTTAATGAAAAATACTTTCCACAATCTTGGCATTCATACGGTTTTTCTCCAGTGTGTGTCCTCTGATGGGACTTGAGATGAGGTTTTTGTGAAAAACCCCTGCCACATAGTGTGCATGTAAAAGGTTTATCTCCAGTATGTGTTTTCTGATGGACCTTTAAGTTACTATAGTATGAAAAACTCTTCCCACACTCCTTACAGATAAATGGTCGTTCACTACTGTGCATCTGTTGATGTTGTTTCAGAGAAGAAGGAAATGAAAATCTCTTTCCACAATCCGGGCAAAGAAATGTCTTTTCTCCAGTGTGCAGCAACTGATGAGTCTTCAGAGAAGATGTTTGTGAGAACCTCCTTCCACATTCCTGACAAATAAATGGCTGTTCACCATCGTGAGTCAATTTATGATTTTTTAGAGATGATCCCTGTGAAAATCCTTTTCCGCATTCCTTGCAGAGAAATGGCTTCTCTCCAGAATGTACAATTTCATGATTTTTTAAGGTAGACTTGAGTGAATATCCTTTTCCACAATGTTTGCAAATAAACGGTTTCTCTACACTATGTGTAAATTCATGTGTCTTCAACGTGGATTTCAATGCAAATCCTTTCCCACATATCTTGCATATAAAAGGCCTCTCTCCAGTATGTATTCTTTTATGAGCCTTCAGGTGCTGACCTTGAGAGAATTTATTTCCACAGTGTGTGCAAATATATGGTTTCACTCCAGTATGCGTCCTCATATGAACAACTAATGTACGTTTATCAGAAAACCTCTTACCACAATGCTCACACATGTAAGGCCTTTTTGTAACATTTTCACCATTTGCATTCAGAATAGAACCATCTAATAGCTCCTTCTCATACTCTTCCTCAACGAGTGTCCTCTTGGCAGCCTCTATGGAGAGGAAAAAAAACAGGTGGAATAAAACTATGAACCAATATTCGAATTCTACCAAAAGGTCTAACTTAATGTTATCCTGGGGACTTGTTACAATTGAAAGTTAAATCTGGGAGAACATTGGCAGAAACTTAGTTTCTTATCATAAAAAAATATGTTATGCATTGTTCTTCTTGACTGCTTCTCTTTCTCCAACTCACTGTTGCACTGATCCTGTGAGGCAGCGAGTGAAAGATGTCTGTCACTTTGTACCACACTCGCATCTCTTAATACAGATTTGTGCTTTGTTCTACCATTGCATCTGACTCCATACATCTTCACATGTCTGCATTCCCATTCAACACATATACACTGTACCCATTTCCAGCCTCTCAATGCATACATCTCACACTCCACACACTGTGCTTATCTCCTCTTCTTGCCACGCAGCCCAGCACTCGATAGGCACAGTGCATTGATGTATGGAGTCAGTGCCAATGCATTATTAGTGCGCATCACTCCATGTGGAATGAAGTGGAGTGGTGGGAAATACAGAGGCGGAGACACTGCACTGGATACGTATCACGTAATGCGCCAGCACATACAAAGGGGGCATAGTATGAAGATGCATTGAGATAAGGAGAGCATTGCTATGCATTGCAATATACCGTAATTGATATGCAGCAATTGCCATGTCGTAGTGCACATCTTGGTTTGAAAAACTGTATCGAAAATGGGATATTTTACATGTTTAGGTAGATTCAGGGGAAACGTTAGTGGGACACTTCTAGCAGGAAAATGTAATATTATTGGGGATTTTTGATATGTAAAACAGCCCAAGTTTTGAAATAATTAATTTGTTTAATAATTAAACAGCTTTTAAACATAGATAATCAACAGCCATGCTAAAATGGCTGACTCCAAGTAATAAAGATGAAGTAGAGAAAGGCAAAGGGATAGAAACATGCCTGATTGTTTCAACTGGCAGGCCAGGAGTTGGAGTTGAACAGGCTGGAAGTCCAGTGTGCTAAATATTCAGTTAAAATATTTATGTTTATTGTAAGACATTTCTACGTGTTCCAAACCAGTTTTTTTCATGCTGTTGCCAGAAGTGCAAAACATATATTACCCCATCTTCCACCTAGCAACTTCACACGAATAAATGTCATCGCTCCATCTCCTAATTATTTTCAGTATGCCAGACACCCTCCATAACCCAAAATATCCCCAAATGTGTTTGGCTTCAAAAGGTTTTTAAGGCATACATGTTCAATCAATACATTTACTCGAACTGTATTTACTGATGGAATTCTAAGGAGCATTATTTTTTGTTCCATACAATTTGTTTTGGAAATTTTTCAATGTAAAGTTTCGGATAGCTTTTTTTTACCCTGGACTGGAACAGAACAAACAAAAAAAAATGACTGGAACAGGACAGCATTTTTATTTTGAAATTCGAATAGTAGAACTGAATGTTTATTTTCAATTGTTCCGCATTACTGCCTGTAGCCCATCAACTACTTTGTAAAAACACACTTGCCTTTGTACAAAATGTCTTCACAATGTATTAAGATTGTTACCATAATGCATTGTTTGTGAATTTTGCTTGACATCTCACTCACCGTTGCTGCTCTTTTCTATTTTCTTCACCTCTGTCCACAGTTGCTGAGTAGCACATGCACCATGTGTTTCCAGCATCTCTTCACAATTGACAACGTCCACATCAGTAGTTTTACACTCCAGGCCTGACACGAGTGATATCTCTACGACAGCACACTCTGTTGAGACAACTTGCTCACATACAGTGTCTGCACTTTGAGACCCTTGGGTCTGATGGTTTGAATGTTCAGCCAACTTTCCACTTTCAACATCATGCGATTCCTCTGCTTCAGACACAACACAGTGACAAAAAAATACATCACACAATTACGTTTTGGTATATCAGATTATAAAATACTAAGACGTAATGCATTAACATATATTTTGTTACACTTAGTTGGAAAAGGCTGTCTTTGAGATTTAAAACATATGGATTCACCCAAGCTATATTTATGATTATGCTAAACAGTGATTAAGTGATATTCTTTTTGCGAGCGTGTTCCAACACCCCTGACCACTTCTGACAATCATTCAAATTTTGAGAAAATTTCAACGTTTATCTTTATCCTCTCCTGTTATTAGTAGTCATTTGACGCATTAAGGTCTCCGATCACTTATGGCTTAGTTTGAACACTCCCACGTTTTCTTATTTAGACTTTAAAATCTATCACTTTTGCTGCCGTATCAATCCTAGTGTCTTGGGTTAAAATTCATATTTTTTTAGTCTGACAGAGCTAAAAACTGGCCCAAATACTCATGTAAAACTGCCGTCAGTTTGTAAATCTGATTCTCCATACACACCTGTTGTCAACCTCCAAGCTTTAATCTCACTTCTATATAGCTTTATCTAAATTATGTCTGTAACCAGGTAAAATAATGGGATGGAGGTCAAGATATGAATCGATTGGCGGTGACCCGGGTCACCATCGTGACCCGGGGGTGCCAAAACCTCCATAACTCCGAAACCAGAAGGCCTATGAAGACGGGAGATGTCACTGGGCCCGATACGCACGCCAAATATGGAAATAAAAAACACACGCAAAACACCCATAAACAAGGGGGGCTGCTGGGGATTTGTGCGTGGCAACGGCTGTTTATTGTTTGATTTGAAAGTACATCAGGATGCTGGTCTGGTCATTCCCCAGCACGTTCTGCTTCTTATGGGGGTGGCCACCCCCCCTGTCTTTGGGAGCGAGACCACTTGGAGGCAATGGCGCACCGGGCGCTCTCTTGGTACAGCCGGCGGTCATGGTCGTGCTGACGGGATCGACATCATCGTCATCATCGCTCCCAGCGTCGCCCTCCGGCAGGACAGGGTAGTACCAGCGATGCTCCCAGAAAAAAACCTTAAACTATGCCCGGCCCACCAATATTTTGCGGTGACCCGGGCTGCCGCCAATCGATTCATATGTCTTGTTACCAAAGCAATTTTTTTTCTAGATGACATAAGCCACTTTTTGTAAGAGCAGATTGATCAGTTTGTAAATGTTGTGGATTCACTCTGCAACACACCGGTGGGCTAAATTAGTGAACTATTTGTCTTTTGTCAACGTGACACTTTTTTGCTGATTGGCCGTGTCGGGTGGTGGAGGGTTACGACACATTTATAAATAACACGATCTAACCCAAAAACGTTTATTATGAATATTGGTCGCGAAAGCCTACGTGTCAAACTGGTTAAAAGATGGCCGTTTCATTTATCAAAGTTTACGTTGATGTATGGCTCTGATCACTAGGCTTTAAGAAAGCAACTCGAAAAATGTCGTCAGGCATTTGAATAAGTATTTTTAAGGAATTGTGGCAGAATCAGATAAACAAATTGGAACTCAAGAATAGTCACGGTAGGTAGGGCATATATCCATCAATGATGACGAGGACAGGTTACAGATAGGTATTAGAAAAGGTATCCATGTCAGCAAACAGAGCTGGGGAAAGACCTAAAGCCAGATGATGGGATCCTGCTAGAACGAGCCTTATAGTTTGGGTATTGATATCATAGATACATTAATTAATCAAAAACTGCAAAGCTTTGGAATGCATCAAATCGGTTTAGGAAGTGCTATGTTTACAATCATTGCATAATACACACAGCCAATAATCTTATTTCTCACCTATTTTATCTGTTCTTCATCCGCAAAACAAATGTACAAATATCCCACAGTAGAATCACTATCCGCATAACAAAATGCACATCCATGGATATAGCAGAGTAAGCCCTATCTCATCATTGTGTTACTACTTTGTCGGCCCCCATTATACACTCTTGCATTTAATACTCTGCAATAATTATGCAGGCATCACCGGCACATTTGTCTTCTAGTTCCACTCACTTCTCAAACAGCTCTTTCTAAATTTGTATATGAATACTGCATTTTTCTCAAAACAGAGATATGCCATCTTGCAAGGCTCCATCCTCAGCTGCCTGTTAGTCCAAATATATCTCCTCCCTCAAAAATCATCTTGAGATTAAATGTTGACCATCATTTCCATTCTGATGACATTCAGCTCCACATCACCATTGAATCCATTAACCCATGTTCACTGTCCACTCGCATCTTGCCTTGATGCAATCTCACCTCTGATTCTGTCTCTCCAAATAAATGTTGCCAAAACCGAATGCACTCAAGAGCAAAAAAGTCCAATCTCAGTAAAGACTCCAATTTAAGCATGTACCTCCTAAACTCTGAAACCACTTGCAGTGTACAAGACGTTAAAATTGTCATCGATCCCGAGCTGTCATTCTCTTCCCACATCTCAACTCTACAGGACCTAAAAAACCTCCATCTGTGCAACAGCTCACACATCCACCATTTTCTTACATCAAATACTGCTGATAAAATGAATTTCTTTATCACAACCTGACTTAACTATTGCAAATCTCTCATCTATGCCCCCTACACATCTCTCACACTCTAGACCAGTGGTTCTTAACCTGGAGTGCAGCGTGCACACCCTGGGGGTGCGAGATGCTCTTTTTCCTGGGGGTGCAAGACATTTTTTCAGCATGGGCACGTAAGCACAATACTACTTTGTTTCATCAAACCTACGTATTTACGAACATTATAAAAACAAATTAACGATTGAGAAACAAAGTGGTGCAGGCCGCAGTAAAGGTAAGAACCACTGCTCCTGACGATCAAATATGCTACTGCCATACTGTCACCTGCACACACATCAGCTTCCATATACCACATATACTATAATCCCTCCACACTGTCTCCCTATCCGATCCTGGATAAACTTCCAGATGGCACTTCAGTATTCATAATTCATGCACTCATGCCTGCCTACATGCACTTCCTCTAATGCCACTCTACTCCCGTCTGCAAGCTCTCTGTTCTCACAATAAATTATTTATATTAAAGCCCAAGTCAACCTTCAATCTGTATTTCAAAAACACAAATGCTGCATTGGACATTGAGCCATCATATATGGTATAACAGTTAAAATTAGAATGGCATTTGTAATGGTTCTGCCAATGCTCAATTACTTCTGTTCAAGTGCAGCTTAACGATTTAGGCTCTCTCTACATCAATACATTAGTTGCTATCCTAAAACTTAACCGATTTGTGCTTTGCAAAGCATGAAGTTGTAAAAACCAACAAATTGAGCATTTACAAGTCATGGTTAATATTGACATTTCCAGGTGATATCATACAGTCTTCAAAAAAATCACTTTATATATACAAGCACTTCTATACATCATGCTTATATATTTATATTTAAAATAAAAATGCTTCACTTGCCTTGTCTGGTGTTCTTCGTTTTCTCATCTTCCCACATCGGACAAGCTACTTGGATTTCCTGTGAATATGAAATTTCTTTACGTCCAACATTACCTTCATCATACTGAAAATTCTCTTTTTGGATGGACATAACCTGGACAGCATCAACATTTTCACTTTGTAATTTGTTTTGTTCACATAAATCTCCTTTAAGATGAGTCTTCTGATGAGCTTTAAGATTGTAATTTAGCGAAAAGCTTTTTCCACAAACACTACATGCATATGGCTTCTCTCCGGTGTGTATCCGCTGGTGGGTTTTCAAGTGAGGCTTTTGCGCAAAACCCCTTCCACAATCTTTGCATATGAAAGGTTTTTCTCCAGTATGTGTCTTTTGATGAACAGTCATGGCACTGGAATATGAAAAACTCTTCCCACACTCTTTGCAAACATATGGTCTCTCTCCAGTATGAATTTTATGATGTTCCTTCAGGGTGGATGCCTGTAAAAACCTTTTCCCACAATCTGCGCATATAAATGGCCTTTCTCCAGTGTGCGTGAACTGATGTGTTTTGAGGGAAGAAGGCTGAGAAAACCTCTGGCCACAATCTTGGCATGCATATGGCCTTTCTCCGGTGTGGGTCAACCGATGAACCTTCATGTAAGAAGCCTTTGAAAACCCTTTTCCGCAGTCATTGCAAACAAATGGCTTCTCTAAAGAATGTGTCAACGAATGTGTCTTCAATGTGGATTTAAGTGAAAAACGCTTTCCACAGTCTTGACATATAAAAGGCTTCTCTCCAGTGTGGGTCCTCAAATGAGCCTTCAGGTGTTGGCCTTGAGAAAATCGCTTTTCACAATGTTTGCACATGTATGGCTTCACTCCTGCATGTATTCTCTGGTGAACAGCTAACGTACGCCGACTTGAAAATGTTTTTCCACACTGCTCACACATGTACATCTTCTCTGCATTTGTAGCCGATTTATTTTTCAAAATAGATTCACTTAAAGGATCATTTCCGTAATCCACATGATTCCGAATTTTCCCTGCCACCTCCACTGCAAAGGTTAAATGGGATGAAAAGTTAATAGGTTTAAGAGGGCCCATTATAGCATCTGTAAAAGTAACATTTTAATTAATACTTGGTCTCTCAAAACATACACTTCCTTTCCCCCATTGTCTTAACACGACTTGTTTTTCATATCTCTTATAAAACCAGTTACTTATTTAGTATTATGAACGATATAAATTATGCCCGAGCTCAATTTATTCTCTGCCACATTATAATTTTAAATCAATCTTTATACAAAAAAATACATGAACTTGTCCTACACTGGCCAGATTCAGAATCCAAATACCAAAGCAAAATATTCAGTTTTTTTCTAATTAGATGTTATTACATTTGGGAAACGTTGAAACACTTTTTGTTACAAGTCAAGGTTAAAGTCTTACTTTTAATTCACAAGACTTCTCAGCATACGAGCAGAAGTGGTATGTGGAAACAATTATGGAGCACGACGATAAGTATGATAACTACAACGTCAAATGCATGCATCTTGGTGGACCAGCAAATACCTTCTATTAGCCACCAAAAAACTACATCAGCTCTGAAACAAAACTTCATGTGCTCTGCTCAACAACAACATTAGTAACAGCTTCGGGATAAAAGTACTAGCCGAGCGACCAGACAATGAAAGACATTTTCGCTGTGACAACAAAAATTGTCTTTAGGATGACATGGTGGCGAGCTGTTAACTACCTCGCCCGGTATGCAGGTTGTGGGTTCGATCTCGACCCTTAGGCTTGTATATTTGGAGTTTGCATGTTTTCCCCGTGATTGTGTGGATTTTTCTCCAGGTCCTCCGGTTTTTCCCAAAATATTTAGAAACGTACTTTAAGATTATTTGGCTGCCATAACTTTCCACATAAGTCACTTTATGAAGCTATCATTTGTGGCCAGGTCACTTCTGAAAAAGCTATATAGCTTAGTGGGCCTTACCTGGTAAAATAATAGTTTGAGTTATTTATAGTATAGTAAATGAAATGTTTATCATATTTAAAAACGGCTAAATACTGTACAGAAATCATTTCGTAAATGCCACGATTGCGAATGTCTTGTTTTTGAATCGCTAATTTTATAAGCACATCCAAACACCAGACATGTTATATCTCATTGTAAAGATCATCTTTAAATTTTCCATTATAATTATGCTCCATATTTATATCTGTTATGCCACGTGAATAGGGGGGAAGTGAATGCAAGAATAATTGCTATGGTCTTTGATTAGAGACAATATAAAAGAACTCAATCAAAAAATAATTATTTTAAGAAAGAACCTTTGATGAATTATTTTCCGCCTTTAGTGTGGTGCAAAGTAAAGGCTTAAACTTTGACTTTGAAAAACATAAAATTTGAATGTGTCAAATGAAATGATTCCATGATCCCACAATTAAACGTAAAAAAAAAATCCCTAAATATTATTTTGGTTTGTATATTTAGAATTTGAATAGAAAATATGTTATTTTACTCATTTTTATATCTCTAGACGTTCTGATTGGCAAAACTCCTAAAAATGCCTGCAAAAAACCCATCAGTCACTAAAACTTCCAACCCCCCTATTGCTTGTACATTTCATTGTGGGATCATGGTTAGTGATACAATTTCAGAAACCACCATACAAATATCAAGCTGCTTACGAACAAAGTTACAGGAAAATCAAAGACACGTCACTTACAAGGCCATTTTTACTTGCCATGGATTGACCCTTGTGTATAACATCTCCCGTCACTCTTTTCTGTCTCATTTACAAGTATTTTGGGTGGTTGTAAAATAGCCGAGTGGTAATGGGTTTGCTGTTTCTTGCAGTCATGGTTCAAATACAGCAGCTGCCCTGATTATTACCACGTGTGTAATAACAATAATACACGCCGTCTGCTTTAGTGGATGTTAAAGATCCCCTGATGTCATTCACAAGAATGAGTTTGAGTTCATATTGTAAAACGGATGATCCTGTTTAGCCAGTTGCCAGGCTCTTTTACAAAGGTGATCCATGTTGCGCGAGCACAGCAACAAAACAAAGGCAAAACATCAATATTGCACAACTAACAATGTATTTAATGGTCCTAAATGAAAAAAAACAGTGCAAATATGATGAGCAAGAGGTGCCATAAAAAGCTAGATAAAAGTCAAAGTATAATCTGCCTTAGGGACATAAATTGGGTGAGTGTAAAGGGAGGGAAACCAAGCTCAAGATGAGCAACAAGGGTATTCCAGAAGCTTTGGGCAGCAACACAGAAAGGCTTTTTACAAAAGCTTTAGAAATTTTTTGTAGGAATAAGGAGGCCCTTCTGTGGCTACAGAAAAGAGTAAGATGAACTAAGTGGTCCTTTAGGTAATTGGCAGATTTGTAATGGTCTCTCCAGATATCCTGGGGAAAAGATTTGAGATAATATGCAGGTTGAAAATAATGAATTATATAGGGGCATAAAAGGAAATATGGAGAACCGAGGGGTATAATAGAACGATATATTTGAAGGTAGATTCAAAAGTTACGCAGTAAATGGTGCCACAATCATAAAATATGGGCAGGTCGGTGGCATTAACTATATATTTATATCGAGTCAAGGTTGAATACAGCATTTGTTTCCATAAAGGAATATATTATTGGCCAAGTGGTCAATGTGGGTCTTGAAAGACAATTTCAAGTCAAGGACAATGCCTAGGTATTTCAAGTTGTGAACCTGATAAATGAGGTGCGAGTTCAGAGGCATAATATGCATAAGTGGTGAGACAGGCTGAGGCCAACCCAAAAATCACGTAACCTGGTCTTTTATGAATTGAGGACCAGTTTTATGGCAATAAATGAAAGTTAAAGATCATCGAAGTCATGTTGTAGATGCTGCTGTAACTCCTCCATGGAAGTTCCAGAGGTCATCAGAAAAAAAGTGCAGATGAAAAAGTGGAGGATAAAGATGCCTAGATTATTCAAGAGCACAGAAAACACGATAGGACCAAACATAGAGCCCTGAGAAATTACTTTAGTAATGGGGGTCCTGTCAGATGATGTATTATTAACAGAAAAAATGTGAAACTAGTAAATAAGCAGTTGCAAATCCAGTTGATTGCACAATGTGAAAATGTAGGCATTTAGCCTTTGCAGCATTCCAACATAGCCCAGAGTGTAAATTGCTTTAGACAAGTCAAGGAATAGGATGACACAATGACAAGATTCAAGACTGTTCAAGATAGTCAAGAGTATCTAATCTTTCTTGAAAGATGCTGGTATCAGGGCCCAAATTTGCCCAATTGAAAAATTACTCGTAAATTACTCAATTGGGATTACAGGAATCCCCCAATATAAGTTGCCGCATTATGCGTTTTTTGCATAAACATTCCTGATTAATTAAGGAACATATTTCCTAATAGGTGCAATGTTTTGCATATCGTTCCTTTAAAAAAATTGTACGACATTTTTCGTATTTTATTGTTACTAAGATCGCACATGGTAAAAGGGACTATTTTGCGATGTCATACCATACTGTACATAAATAGATGATTAGCCTCCTTCTGCCAGCCCGGCCGTTTCTTGTGGTGATTGTGCACGTGTTAGCTAGAAATATAGCATTAGGTGATAGTTTTAACAAAGTACTAAGGGCTTAAATAGAGTGTAAAACACACACTAAGCATTTTGAAACATGTGAAAAGGCAGTCGATAATGCCAAAATTCTTGGCCTACTCAGACTTCGGTGAGAACTATTCGAGTTAATGCGGGAAACATTTTTTAATGTGCTCAAAATGTGGCACCTTTAATTGCCACTAAAATAATTCAGTTGTGGAATTTTAGAAAATTTGGAAATACATTTTAAGTGTGTGGATTGAAGATCAAAATCAGCATATCGCTTCAACCATCTTTGGTAAGATTTACCTAATCATTTGTATTTCTTAACCTATTAATCATAAGCATGTTTGTACACATCATGATATTTAGTCACACATTTTTTTCCCCCCAGATATGTCGGCTAGGAACAAAACCCCTGATTTTTTACATTATGCCTGTGGGAAATTAGAGTTCGCATTAGGTAATTTCGACTTAAGTAGCATTTTCCGGGAACACAGCCCTTACGTATAGTGGATTATTCCTGTATACATAGCAATCATCGCCTCCTACTGGCAGTCTAACGCCCAGTTGCAGGCAAGGTGCTGAGTCACTTTGTGCGCAGAGGGGGCAGCTGTCACCGAGGGTGCCCTTTCAAATGTTCAAGTTGAGGTATGATACTCTTTGGTTATTTCGGTGACTTTACCGAAAGAACCAAAGAGTATGGATTCCTGCAGTCACGAAAGCTTCAAATCCAGATTGAGGTATGATGTAAATGACTCTTGACATGCCCTTGCGAAAAAGGGCACGATATAAAAAAGTCACATTCGTCATGTTGCTGTGATAAAGATTAAATACAATATTATTGATCATTGCAAAAACAGATTAATATTAAGGTTTGATTTAATGAAAATAATGATCACATAATGATAATTAATAATTAAATTGTCAGTAATTGTTAAGATTATGTTAATAATTCGTAAAAAAGGTAAACATTTCATTGGAACATTCTTTTTTTATTTTAAATTATACTGTGAGAATATATTGTTATTGAGATATGGATCCTATGAAATATGTATCTGCATAGAACGGGTAAGATTATTTTCCCAATGTATTGGCAATAATCCAATCTGATAAAAAAAATTACTGATTAAACCAGCTCATTCCGAATGATGAGTCATGCACTTTTGTCAATTACAATCGTGATTTAATCACAATATATTGATATTCCTGCTGGATTATTTAATTTAACTGTATAATCCACCACCCATGGTGTATTATGCACATTACGATTTACGTAAAATTTACTATTTTACATAATGCATTTCACCACCACATCATCTCCCCTGTTTATGCAAGTTACAAATACATACAGTATTTAAAAACATTAAATAGGACTTGTGTTTTTCCACAAACAACATTAAATGCCACATTTGTAATACTAATGAAAATTAATTCAAGACCAAACCTTGGTTTGTGTTTTTTCCTGTCACTTGGGCCACGGTGATGTAAATGATGCGAATCGCCTGTGAATGCGACATGCTTCCAACAACTTTCAATGACTCCCAGCAGCTACCCAACTGCAACAAATTGACAAGCAAACGTGACACAAGATATGCAAAAGGTCAATCAAGAGCCAGTGGTTTCAAAAAGGAGCGAGTGGTGTTACAATCAATGGAGAATGTTGAACTAAAAGTACACTATAATAAAAGCCTGTCTTTCCAGATGTGTTAATCAGAAGCAGTTTAACCTTCTCAACAGTATTAAATGAAATACTACTGATGCAGGCCCCCAGAAGTGCCAGGTAACCCAGAGCATGTTTTATTATTTCTGGCGTACTGGGTACGGAGTCAAGTTCATGATGACAGCCATCAAAGGTAAATTAGCTCATGCGCAGGCACTATATAAATTGTGGCGTCAAAATATTGAGAGATGGTGACGGCATAGGAGGTCTTCAACCACCAGTGAATTGCTCACGCTACAGTCTGAAGCTAGCTCATGAAATAACATTTTGGCACATCAGCTTTGATAAACTTTTTTTTTATATATAAACACCATCGTCCACCACCGACATGTACAATATTACATGAGGGAAATAATAAAATTAAAACATAATAAAATACAATTCTCACGACGTTTCGGCCACAACGCAAGCAGCCATCCTCAGGTGAAGAACAGAGCTGTCGGAAAGACAGGACGCTGCTTGCGTTGTGGCCGAAGCGTCGTGAGAATTTTATTTGATTGTTTAATTTTTATTATTTTATTATTTCCCCTCTACGTGACTTTACCGAAAGAACGAAGAATATGAATCCCTGCAGTCACGAAAGCTTTAAATCGAAATATTATATGATTCAAAGGTATAATACAATGTAACACTTTTCAACGAAGGACAAAAGTCGTTAATGCATTGGCTTTCTGAGGTCACAATAACTCTCGTAAAGATATCATAATCATCATGGAATGACCAATGCACATCTGGATGAAGGCCTTCCTAAGCTGCCACCACCTCTCACAATATTGGACATAATCCATTCAGCACCTGCAACACGAGTTGATTTCATTGCTCCATATCCTTGGTGGACATCCTCTTAAATGCGTTCCATTCCTTGGCTGAAATTCAAATATAATTCTTGACCATTGACCATCATATATTTTAGTCAACATATCCTGCACAAGCTCACTTGCACCAAATGGTGTGTCTACGTGCCTCTTATCTGTGTTTCTGTAGCTCATTTTTTGTTCCCGTAGATACACAAGAGACACGTAGAGATGTAACAGACACATGTCTGCTGTAGTAAATGATTCAAAAACAGGATGACGTTATCGCATGTCCCATCGCATTACGTGCGGCATAAACTTGCCTCCACAGCTGCCTCACCTGGGGTGTCCCTGCCAGGCTTTGGGGTCCTTGGGCCTCCCCGGGATAGGGGAAGTTGGACAATGGAGTGGGGTGGGGGTCCAAGAGGTGTGGACCCAAGTAACTATCCATCATCATTATGATGTTCATCAGTGACCTAACCACTGCATGGATTAAGACCAATACAATGTATGATTTGTGTTTGTTGCCTGAAAATATTTCCAGTTATGCATATGTCCATGCTGTTAATATCAAAATGCCGAAACTTGCGTATGTTCTCTAATCCACGTGTTCCTCCGTCTCTCAAGCTGGAAAGCTTTGGCATGAGCCGTGAACTTATGCACGATGCCCGTATGTTCCTTGATTATTTCTAAAACCTATTGAATGTAGGCGTTTGCTTTGTGTTGAGCAGTGAAAGACGCGCGGAGAGACGGCGATCACGACACCAGCTCGTGCCGTGTCTCACGGCGTGACGGCCGCGGAAGTCTTCACATTCCAGCAGTGAAAATACAGGTAGTCCTCGACTTACGATGGAGATGCGTTACGACGACCCCATCGTAAGTCAAAAATATCGTAAGTCGAAGATGGCCTAGCCTACCCAGGAGTCTTAAAGAATGGTGATAATTTAGCAAAACAGGGCCAATTTACAGTACCGTAACTGTATAAACTATATACTGTATGTATTAATTACAATACTGTATTGCACAGTAAATTGTAAACAAAAAAAACAAGGTCAATTCTTAGCCTTACCTATATGAACTGCAATTTCATAGAAAGTTTTTTTTTCACGAAACAATCCTATCTGCTATATATAAAAAAAACTTTTTACATGCATTGAACGTATCGTATCGCGATCGAAATATCGTAAGTCGGATCATCGCAACTCGGGGACTACCGTAACTCGGGGACTACCGTAACTCGGGGACTAACTGTATTCATGGCTGAACGGAATGCGCGCGCAGACGGGGACGTCGACGGGGCAGCGATTACTCGGCGAATGCCGGACGGACCGTCCCCGCTGCGGTCACGAAGCACAAACACCGGAGGGTCTCCAGCGCTGATGAGCAACAAAATCGCTCAGGATACCGCCGTGGAAGATACGTGCTAGGCTTGCATCACGCATTTTGAAAGGCGTTTCCGTGAATGTCACGTTTTACACGAGCGATTAAGATAAACAAGAAACCCGTTAGCTTTTTTTTCAAACGGTACATTCGACAGCGAGTTTGTATCTCACCGTGGTGCAAGCGTTTTGTCGCGGTCATATCAAGAGGCCTCCATCCAGCTGCGGAACGACAAAAGGGCTTGCACGTGTTGGGCGGGGGGGGGCACATCCACGTGTTTTTGTGCAAATCGTACCCGAGGCCTTCTGTGCTGCGCGGCCCCCCCCCCAGGCCGTGGCCTTCCGCGGCCCCCCACGCCGCCAGTCCGGGGCCCCGTGACAGGCCGCGGCTGGCGCAGCTGTTCACGGCTGCGTCTCGCCCTCGTAAGGGGGACAACAGCACCTCGGCAAGCACGGAAAACGGCGCGACCACGAATCGTTCCACGTCTAAACCCCCCGCGTCCATTAACCTACGCGGCGCTGGAGAACGCGGCCCACGCGTCACTACAGCGGGGGATCCGTGCCCTAGCGGGCGCAAGCACTCGACGAACATGACGTCACTTGCTGGCGGCGGTGGCCTCGATCCCGTGGGCATCACAAGTTCGCCAGTGCAGATGACGTCAAAACTGAATGCAATGTTTAGACCAGGCGGCCATGTTGTTCAGTTCACCAGTGCACATGACGTGAAAACTGAATGCAATGTTTAGACCAGGCAGCCATGTTGTTCAGTTCACCAGCGTACATGACGTGAAAACTTGATGTAATCTGCGGACCAGGCGGCCATGTTGTTTAGTCCACCAGTGCACATGACGTGAAACTGAATGCAATGTTTAGACCAGGCGGCCATGTTGTTCAGTTCACCAGTGCACATGACGTGAAAACTGAATGCAATGTTTAGACCAGGCAGCCATGTTGTTCAGTTCACCAGCGTACATGACGTGACAACTTGATGTAATCTGCGGACCAGGCGGCCATGTTGTTTAGTCCACCAGTGCACATGACGTGAAACAGAATGCAATGTTTAGACCAGGCGGCCATGTTGTTCAGTTCACCAGTGCACATGACGTGAAAACTGAATGCAATGTTTAGACCAGGCGGCCATGTTGTTAAGTTCACCACTGCACATGACGTGAAAACTGAATGCAATGTTTAGACCACGCGGCCATGTTGATAAGTTCACCACTGCACATGACGTGAAAACTGAATGCAATGTTTAGACCAGGCAGCCATGTTGTTCAGTTCACCAGCGTACATGACGTGAGAACTTGATGTAATCTGCGGACCAGGCGGCCATGTTGTTCAGTCCACCAGTGCACATGACGTGAAACAGAATGCAATGTTTAGACCAGGCGGCCATGTTGTTCAGTTCACCAGCGTACATGACGTGAGAACTTGATGTAATCTGCGGACCAGGCGGCCATGTTGTTAAGTTCACCAGTGCAGACGATGTGAAAACAATGCAATGTTTAGACCAGGCGGCCATGTTGTTCAGTTCACCAGTGCACGACATGAAAAACCAGTAATACAATGTGCAAATCAGGTGACCATCTTGTTAAGTTCACCAGTGCACATGACGTGAAAACAATGTAATGTGAAAACAACGTGATGTACACACCAGGTTGCCATCTTTTTAAGTTCAAACATTCACACATGCGCTGAGTTGATTTGTTGCACGAATGATCTCGTTTAGACAGTTTCCCGGCTATTTTCCAAGGGAGATCCGTGGTGTGTGAGCACATCAACACAGCAAAGCTAACAACCAGGGTATTTAACAATCGTCAACGAAACAAGCGAATAATAAATATAAAAAACCTCCAAATGTAACGAAAGCAAAATGCGCCAGAAAAAAAATCGGTACAGGTGCAAGTCAGCTCATTCTTTTCGTCTAAGAGTGGCATTAATATACGCGACATCTAAAAAGATAGTGCAAAAAAGTTACGTTGGAAATAAAGAGGGGGAAATGAGTAGATAAGCGGACAAGGGTAATCCAACAACCTGAAGCAGCAACGCCTGAATAAATAAGTTGTATGTCATTACACTTAACATTATGGAAGCCCCTGTTGTAGTTTCTGATGTTAACTTCTCCAAGGAATTTCCTTGAATTTCCTCAAATCTGGTGTCATCAGTAAAAAGGTTCATGTCAGAGTGCAGATGAGAGATGCCTCGACCGTTGACGTATAGAGAGGACAACAGGATAGGGTCAAAGCAGAGCCCCTTTAGGAATGCGGGTCCTGTCAGAGGATGTACTATTCACGGAGATCATTTGAAATCGATCAGATAAATAGTTGAAAATCCAGTTGATTGGACAATCCGAAAACAAGTAATTTAAGCCTTATTCTTGGTTCTTTCGGTAAAGTCACGTAGAAGGGAAACAATAAAATAATAAAAATATAAAACAATAAAATTGTTTTATTGTTTTATTGTTTTATATTTTTATTATTTAACAATATTTAACAATAAAACAATAAAATTGTTTTATAGCTTTATATTTTTATTATTTTATTGTTTCCCTTCTACGTGACTTTATCGAAAGAACCAAGAATAAGGCTTAAAATACCTGTTTTTATTTTAATAAAAATATAAAACAATAACATTGTTTTATTGTTTTATATTTGTATTATTTTGTTTCCCTTCTACGTGACTTTACCGCAAGAACCAAGAATATGAATCCCTGCAGTCACGAAAGCTTTAAATCAAAATTTTAAGCCTTTGCAACATTACAGCTTCATTGAGAGTCTAAAATGCTATGGGCCAGTCGCGGAATAGGATGGCAAAATGACGATGAAATTCAAGACTGTTGAAGATAATGCAACAATAAGGATGTCAACAACCTTCATAAAAAAACAAGTATTAAACGGACATTTGAAAAACTGAATTAAAAATCAATTAAAACAGTGCTCAGAGTTGTAAGGCAATAATACGAAAAAGAATCCTCCATCACCCCAGAATTCCCCCCCCCCACCTTGCTTACTATCCGCTTAACCTAATTGTTTATTTTGAAACTGGATGTTGAAATGAGATGACGTGTTTAAAAAAAAAGACTATGCAAAATCTACACAAACTGCAAATGTGATATCACAGCCTCTAGACATAATTTAATGCATTTCGAAGTGAGATCTTTTTGTATTCAGATATCCACTTAAATAATTACGTACTTTTAATGCTTATTTTTTTAGAATACATAAGGTTACTTATGCAATTGATTACAAATGTTAGCTTTAATCTCTGACATCGAGTAGCAGCTTACATGATAGTGTATACAAAAATCACCAGACATGCCAATTAACAGCAGCGCAGCAGCTCATTCACCAACCTTGAACACATATCAGCCCGGACTTATGAAACATGTCACCATTGCATTGTTACGCACACAACTCATACTGAATCAGAATATCTATCTATACTGGAGGAATCCGAGTGATCTACATATGGTAATTATGGGCCGTCCATAAATGACGTCACGCACCTGGGGGTGGGGTTAGACATTTGTGACGTGTGACGAGGGGGTGGGGGTTTGAGAAATGTGACGTCACATCAAGAAATATAAACACGTTCTACTTAATTGAATAAACTTTTTAATACATGTTTTCTCCTACAACAGACATGGGCAAAGTACGGCCCCCGGGCCGTATACGGCCCGTTGGGCTTTTTAATCTGGCCCGCCGAACTTGTCCAAATATTATTATTATTATTAAATTAAATTTTACCTTTCTCCTGTAATGCCCCCATTTCCCCATTAGTTTGCGCACTTTGACCGGGAGTTACGACCTGTTTGTGTATTGTTCATATTCGTGCAATTTGTTAAATTGCCTTCTAAATAAATGCTTTGCTACCTGTTAAAGTCCAAATCCTTTCATGTAATGATTTTTAACACGTCATTTATATTAGTTCACACAAACACTCCATCCATATGTTCCTGGCCCGGCCCCTCTGTCAAATTTTAGAACCCATTGTGGCCCGCGAGTCAAAAAACCTACAACATCAGAGTGCAGCGCCACATTAAATACGCACTACAATGACAATAGTTTAAAGCGATTTGAAGCATATTTTATATTTTGTGACGTCAATTTTGAGGGGGGGGGGGTCTGACTTTTTGTGACGCCGTGTGAGGAGGTGGGGGGTAAAAAATCGCCCAAAATCGCGTGACGTCATTTATGGACGGCCCCTTAGACCGTCTGGCTAGTAAAATAATCGATGTTGAAATAAGTTGAACATACAGTAAGTCATCGTTTAGCGTTGTGAATGTGGTCTTAGACGAAACGACGTTATACGTATCCATTTTTCCTATAGGAATAAATTACAATAGTGAGGATAAATTTCCCGGAAAAAACAATTGCCACACAAATTACATTTTAAGCCTCAAATATGATTCTGTAATGAGTTTATGCAGAATTTGTATAATTGAACATATATTTTTGACCGCAGAACTGTGAAACGCATAGCGTAAGTGTTAATTATATTGGTAGGAACCTCCTGGTTACACCAGGTGGGGCTGGGTGTGGAGGGGAGGGTGGGGAGGGGCTGGGTGGGGAGGGGAGGGTGGGGAGGGGCTGGGTGGGGAGGGTGGGGGGTGGGAGGAGTGGGGCTGGGTGGGGAGGGGCTGGTCACCCCGTGGTGCCCTTATAAAACTCAACGTTTAACCTACTCACGTCGGCTTGTGCCCGCCCTCACAGTGGGGCATATTTGCGGAATACACCACGTGGTGCCGCCGTTGACCCTGGCCATTGACCGAGCAACCCAACGTTCCTACCAGCTCCCTCCGCAGGAATGTGTTGTCCCTAGAAGATTAATCGCGTAACTGAATATTCGCAGGACGCCTGTAGTTTAATCGCTGGTTAATTGCAGTGTTGTAAATACACTAGGATGATTGAAGATGTTCGTAAAGTATTGTAAATAAGTATTGGCTAGTACATATTAGATACTAGCTATACTACCCGGCTTCGCCCGGGGCTTGGATCCACCACACCCGGTCGCCTTTGTCTCCCCAGTGGCGATTTTCACACACCACAGCAGTTACTCGTTTGAGGCTGAGTCGACCTAGGGGAGGCCCAGGAGCGGTTCAAATAATCGTCACCGGTGGTGGCCGTGAGTGGGAATCGAACTCGGGTCGCCGGGTTCGTAGCGCTACACTACAATGCGTTACATTTCCACATGCGCGGGTCACATGACAGATTTGACGTCACAGCTCACTTGCCGTGCAAAACATATAAGCATTATTGAGCTACTTCCCCCCCCCCCTCCCCAAAATAAAAACAAAAGTGTATTTTTTATAATTTTTGCATGGTGTACATTCTGGAAAGTACCCACATGGCAAATTTCAAGTTTGTTGCATGTCGGGAAGTACACTAAACATTTTGAACAGACACACATATTCACAAATTTCCCTTTTATAGAAATGGAGATAAACTTGTACATTGTATGGCCTAGTTGTAAAGTTGTATACATTGCACGTTGTGGAATGGATGTGTAAATCTACATGTTTCCAGTATTCAAGGATATAATTAATGCTATTTTTGTCTTTGTTTCTTTCAGTTTCACACGAGTTACGACTAATATTGGATGTTATTTGCCGATTCTAATTTAGCTTTAAAAATATATACAAGTTCATATTCTTAGCTCTTTCGGTAAAGTCACGTTGAAGGGAAACAATAAAATAATAAAATATATAAACAATAAAAAATTCTCACGACGTTTCGACCATAACAAAAAAATAATGCAAACCGACACACCTGATGACGACCGTTTGTGTTATGGTCGAAACGTCGTGATAATTTTTATTGTTTTATATATATTTTATTATTTTATTGTTTCCCTTCAACGTGACTTTACCGAAAGAGCTAAGAATATGAATTACTGCAGTCACGAAAGCTTTAAATCAAAAGATATACAAGTTGTTTCAATAAATACAAGGAACTTCAGATGGTCATTCTGTCTTCATGTACATTGTTGGAACAGCATCATGCATGACGAGGACAAAACAATATTTTCCAAAGTAACTGGAACGTTGGCCATTATGTGACGTCATAATAGTGAATGTAGTTCCAGTCATTTAGCTGACTGACAGCGTGCAGGCCAGGTGAAAATCCGAATAGCTGCCAATACAACGGAATATACTACATGCTTTCCTCGAATTACGAACACCCGTACTTACGAACCAGCTTCCATGAAATATATTGAACATTTGACTTAAAACGCGAACTCTCACTTGCAAACTGAATCACGGAACTATTTTGTTCGGCGGAGCAATCCTCCGCGAGATGTAATGAGCGTGTGTTTGCGCACGCGCGCGTGTCAAAGTGAGTGTGTGGGGAGCGGTAGTGTAGTGGTTAGCGCACTGCGCTACGAACCTGGTGACCCGAGTTCGATTCCCAGTGTCTGTATCCGCGCGTGTGAGCGCCCAGCCCCCACCCTCCAGTGTGTGTGGTTGGTTACTCATTGCGCTCCTTCCAACAAGTAAGCCAGCATCGGAAAATCAAACTGAAAATGTTATATTTATGTTACTTTATATTTTATTTACTATGCAGTATTTTTTACAGTGTTACATGGAAATGTGCAATATCTATTATTTACGAGTTTAACAATTTTTCCATTTTTGTTGAAACGTAAGAGATTTCAAGTGGGTGGACGTGAGCACTCGTTGGAGTTCATTGGGGTGGGCTTCGGCATAGTTTCAGGTCAGGTCCCATGTGCTGCTTTTTACGTCAGCACGTATGGATAAAAGACCTCGGGATCACCTCAAAGGATGAGGAGCATATGCAGTGCCACAGATGGCCACATTACAGGGGGAGTGGTTCATAATATTTATCCCCAAACTAAATGTACTTTTTAATGTTAATACATCAATAGTAATTAAAAGTCAGATGATAGATTACTCACGTTAAGAACAGTGTCACTCAGTGAAGATGCAGTCACTAGGGGTGGTCACGTGGTCGGGGTCCAGATCCTGCTCGAGGATTCTGGAAGGTGGTCGTGGCCAAGGGCAGAGCCAGCCACAGAGAATATAAGCCGGGTCCCCCAGAGGGGCCGGCGTTGTTGTTCATCCTGAAGAAACCGTCTACATCTACGAGTCTCCCACACGTGGACCTGGACCCGAGCTTTGGTCCCAGGCCATAGTAGCTAGTTACGTTGTAATTAGTGTGGTTAGCCTGGTGGTCACCACCATAGATTGTTATTCTGTTAAGGGGCAGTTCCCCCGTGTGTTGGTGTTAAATAAATGTGCTGCCTCCAAGAGTACGTCTGCGACTCAGTTGAACTCACTACACATGTAAATAAATACTGCCAATGGCTCAAAAGAGGAAAGTGCATGATTTTAAGAACTGTAGATCCCATGAGGGGGCACTATCACTCACGTGGACAGCAATATTCCCACACTACTCACATCAGTTAAGACGCCACAACCTATGTTCCTTCTAGCAAATCATAGATGTAAATACCTCTGCAACCTTGACCTTCAAAGTCGCAAATGAGCACTCTTCTCCATAGCTTTCACTCCAAATTTTGAAATGAGACGGCATCCATCACCACTCTGCATTGTGACCCTGCAGCAAAAACCGAATCTGACCTCCAGCATACCTAACAGGTCCAGATGGAGGGACCACTCTTGAGGATCCAAGTCTTATCTGCTCAACATGTGCGTGTCTGGCCAACAGGGGAACCTCATTCACTTTGTTCACCTCATTCACCTTACCTCATCCACCTATGAGTCTGTCAAAAGCCTGTGCTACTTCTTCATTAGTTTGTTATGCCTAAGTTAACCTTGGTGCTATATTATTGTCACAGCCGTGTTGCACATGACCAACACTGGCTTTCCCCTGACCGCGGACACTGAGGACCATTGGGTTTGGCACGCCTCTCCATTGATTGCCTTGAGTCAATGGAAGAAAATCTACATTTCCATGAGTAGCAGGCTTTCCAAAGGATGACATTTTATTTGTACTGAGACGATCGCATTTTTATGTTATCTGGAAACCAAGAATTTGAAATCAAGATTTAAGGCAAAACCTCATGATACACATTCATAAAATACTTAATATACAGTAAATCTTTAATATTCGTGGGTTTATAATTGCGGTTTTGCAATAAATTGATAGTAATGCTATTTGATATTCGCGGGGTTGTATTTTAAATATTCATGGCTGTAGCACGTGAATACCCGACAAGAAGTCGTGAAGCATGGGAGCGCGTAGATTGTGAGAGCGCGAAAGCACATAATATGTATTCACTGATATTTGCACTTTCAAATTTTTATTTTCATCATTATAAAAAGTTATATAACACAATTCAATACATGAATTAATCAATACAGTGCATACAATTTACATGTTTAAACATAACTTATATGGTGAAGTGACGTAGAAAGAAAATTAATTAAATAATAGAATACTACGTTTCCATTGCAACACAAGCAGTCGTCATGAGGTAGAACTAAATTTGAGAGACAAAACACAGACACGGAGACACACAGACGCACAAGCAGAGAGAGAGACAACACATAGACACGCGCTATTTGTTCCAAAAACTTTCATTATTACACGTACACCATTCTGTGAGCACATTACGCCAGTTCTCTTATCTCTTTATTGGCGACCAGTCAAATTCCGATTGGATTTTAAGATACTGCTATTAACCTATAATGCTTTAAAAGGGCTCACACTTGCAGGAACTAATAGATGTATATATTCCATCAAGGTCCTTAAGATCTTATGATCTCCAACTGCTCAGCACTCCCAGGTCCAGGTTGCGCTCTCTTGGTGATCGGGCTTTTTCTAGCGTGGCACCCAAGCTATGGGACGCTTTGCCACTTGAAATCAGGAAATCAGAGTTGGTAGATATATTTGAAAACCCATCTCCTTAGAGTGGCCTTCCCTCTTTAGTTTGGCCGGCTGCCCTGGTTCAGTTTTATATTTCCTGCTTTTCATGCAATTGTGCGTTGGGATCCTAGGATGGAATGTGCATTATACTTTGGATTATGTAAGTATTAATATTCGCAGATATATTTGAGGTGCTCTCCAGGAACGTATCCTCCACAAATGTTAACGGTGGACTGTGTTGTCAAATGTTATGCTTAACCGAGGACAATTGTGAAACAGAACATACGTTTTGTGTGATGCCACTATTATACAGTTGGGAAAAAAATAACAGGTCCAAATATTACCAATTTGAACCACTTGTGGCCATAACCTATACTTGCACGTGTCAACCCTATTATGCAGACATGTATTACGTCTATTATACAGATGTTTTATTTTGTACTGCCTTCTAATGATGCATATAAACCTCCATTCTATCTCTGTACACGAGTTGTTTTCATCATAAGAGTTGATATTCAAACTGTAGACCAATCTGAGAGAGCCTTTCACCATAGGCCACGTCAAAGTGTTCACTCTCTTCCACAGACAGTGAATCCTTCCAGATGCCAACTCGACCTGTAGATGAGAGTTAGAGGATAGTATAGAATGGAGTTGAGAAAAAGTTTTATACTTTTGGAGCAATGGAAAGAGTTTGAATGTTTAAAGTGAGAATATAATTACAGGTTTTCGTATCAAAGATTTGGATATGCGTAGTATAACCGATTTCAAATGATATTATATAGTAGCTATATGAAACCTTTGCAGGAATTGTTTACCACATGGTTTGTATTATTTCAAAATGATGTTTTTTGGCATTTTTTGCTTATATAAAATCACCATTCGCCAATGTCAATCCCCTGCCAGATGAAGAGCTTCCCAAGCCATCACCATATATCATGATTCTGCAGTATAAAAAGCCACGTAGCACCTGCAGATTAGCTAATTTTATCACTTCATCAACTTCGTGGACCTCTTCTGAAATGCGTTCCATTCCTTGGCTGCCACTAAGTGATTAATATTGATCAAATTACATCATCCCTTCGAGCAACATGTCCTGCCCACGCCGACTTCCTATACTTAACTCTTTGAATGCTATCATTAACCTTTGTGTGTTCGCTAATCCACATGCTCCTCTTTATCTCATTGTAATTCCTAACATGTATCTCTCCATGTTTCTTCGTGCAGTTTTCAGTTATGTTCTATTTTGTGTTCATGGCTATTATTCTAAACCATGTCATTGATTTATTTAGTTGCATTTGTCAAGTTTTTTTCAATTCATAAGATTTTCGTGATTGGACTATCTTCATATGTATCATGTGTGTGATTACCACGTGCATGTGGCTGCATGCTTGCATCCACAAGCTGAGAGCAATGTTGCACCACGTCCTGGGCATGAGCCGTTTCCTGTTTTATGCTTAAGAATGCCTGTAACTGCTCTGACACTTTAGGCAGGTTCTGTCAAAGAGAAGGGTTCACAATATGAGGTCACATAGGTGTGCATTTGAAAACATACAAAAAGGCCAATGTGATTATATGCTGACTGAAGGTACATGTGAATGTACTTACTTGATGTAAGTCTTCATACTTGAGAAATAGAATTTGTTCATCATTACGGTGATTCCAAAATTCCTGCACATGGTCAAACCATGAGCCATATGCCACTGGGAGGAAAGGCAAAGGTCAGGTATTTTTGCAAGCACTCAATGCCTGCAATTAACTCCATGCCAATTTTAATATAATATTAAATGTTTTCTTGTGCTCACCGAGGTTATGGTGCAATATGGCATGGTGAATTTTACGTATACAGGCAGCCCTCGACTTACAAACATCCAACTTATGAACATCCGCACTTATGAATCAGCTTCCATCAAATATATTTTTTACATTGACTTAAAACAAGAACTCGCACTTGCAAACTGAACCGGGACATTATTTTATTCAGCGGAGCAATCCTCCGTGAGATGTAATGAGTCGGCCTTGCATGGGGAGTGAATGGTTATGCGTGTGTGAAAGTGTGTGGGGAGCTGTAGTGTATGTAGCAGTTAGTGTGCTGCGCTATGAACCTAGCCACCCGAAAATGTATTCCTGCTCACGGTCAACACCAGTGACGATGATTTGAACCAGTCCCGGGCATCCCCTAGGTTGGTTCAGTCTCAAATTAGTACCTGATGTGGTGTGTAAACATCGCCACTAGGGAGACAAAAGCGGTTGGGCGTGGTGATGGCCACACCTCCTCATGTAATGTTCCGGCCTTCATAGGTGCTCGCTAGCAGCACTTGTTGAGGCTATACGTGGGATCTTTGTCTTTGTTTGGTGGTGTGGTGATCGTGTATAGGCTGCCTGACATGACATTACCGCTGCCGAGACCACAGAAGTAGTTTTGCAGGTTTTCAGGTTTGCAAATTGACGCAGGGATACAAGGGCCCATCGACCCGCACCGTCATTCGCAGGATTGTCGAGCTTCACGCTATCATGCTGCCCATCGTTGGGGCGTTCTTCTCCAACCTGGACGTCGCAATCTCGCTCGCCATCGACGGGTGGTCGAGGCACAACCTGAAAGGATTTTGGATGGTCACAGTGCACTGGATCGACACTAAATCTGGTGCGTAGAAATCCATGCTGGTGATGATCCTCGATGTGCAGTCCGGAAGGGGTGTCGGCAAGCGCATTGGCACCGCTCTGTTTGAACACCTCCTAAGCCTCGGGCGCAATGTCTCGAGCAAGCTGCTCGCTGTCACCAGCGACAATGGCTCCGATGCGATCAGTGCTGTCAAGACGTTGTTCGCCCTGGTCAACGCGGACACCGGATATGAGCAGTTGCAGGCTTGCCACCATATTCGCTGTTTGGACCATTCGCTCCAGATCGGCGGCGTCTAAGTTCTCAAACTGATCAAGTCGACCAACGCCAAACTGTGCGAGGCGCTCGTCAATATTAGGCGCAGCAAAGTCGTCCGGCAGTCTTACCACTGTGAGACCGAGATCGCCAAGCTCGCCAGCAAGTATCCAATGCACCAGGACTCGCTGACCAGGTGGAATTCGACGTTTGACATGGGCGACGACGCCATCAATAAGCTTGTCCCATTGGACATTATCATGGCGCGCCTCCGGGATGTGATCGGCATCGGCGCTTTCTCTGAACTGCAGTGGGCAAACATCGAGGGCGTGACAGCATTCCTGCGAATGCCGCGCCAGGTCATGCCCTCGTTGTCGGCGGACCGCAAGTCGACATTGGATCTCGTGCCGGTGATGATGGAGCACCTGATCCGTCATTGCGATCGCGGTGAAGCAGCTCTTAGAGCGATCGATGAGTCCTTGACCGTGACGGGGATGAAGGCCGAGCTGGTGCGGTACCACAACTTTCTGGTTCAGGAACCCACCTTTGTGGCATCCCAATGTTCTATGGAATCCACAGCTGCCGAAAACGACAGACCAAGACGAACTGGCGACGCTGAAGGCCACGATCCACTCTGTACTGCAGCATCGTTACTCGGATGTGCTCGCGATCCCGCCAATGGCAATCACTGCCCATATGGAGCAGGGGTCGCTCCTCAGCACCTGATTCAGCAACATCGGCAGCTCCATCGACGATGGCGATGAAGTCGATCGTTTTCTGAGCATGGGCATCACGACCGCCACCGCCTTCATTGACGTAATGCAGTGGTGGTGTCCCCGCAAATAGCTGCTCCCCGCCCACTACAAGATGGCCTGCGACTACTTGGGAGCGCCGGCGACGTCAACTCCCTGCGAACGCGTGAATAGCGGAGCAGGGCGGGAGTTCACGCGCGTTCGCCAGTCGCTGTCGTCGACGCTACACATCCAGTCCATGTGCTTGCGCTCGTGGATCGTGGCCGGCTGCCTGAAGGTCCCGTCTAACCGGGCCGGAGCGGCGCAGGATCTTATTGCCCGTCGTTCGTCCGAGGACGACGGCAATGATCAACTTGATCAGGTTGTTGATGAGATCGTCATCGACCAAGACGACTGAGATGAGGAGGTTATGGAGGATGGTGTCGTCGACAGCCTCAGCACCCAATTCGAGAGTATGCTATACGAATAAAGCGCTCTATCTCGCATTTATCTGTTATAAACATTTTTCACGTGTAGTACCCCAGTAATTACCCTGTAATTGGGTAATTTGTATGGGGTAAGGGTAAAAGGATGGGTAAAGGTAGGCTCGTTGCTTTTTAACTTTTACCTTACCTTGCCGCAGACTACTGACAAGCAAGCCAGCATCAGTACTTAAGGTAAGTGAAATAAAACAGATTTTTTTCTTCTAATTATGTTACTTTATTTTATGTGTTATTTACTATACAATATTGTATACAGTGTTACATGCAGATGTACAATATTTTTTATGCGTTTAACAATGCTTCATTTTTTTGTTGCACAGTAATACATTTCATAACACTGACCGTATAGCCATTTAAATAGAGTACATTATTGTGTTCCGACTTACCAACAGTTCAACTAACGAACTTGTCTTAGGAATGAATTACGTTCGTAAGTCGAAAACTGCCCAGAATGTGAAGGTGTGGTACTCACGTCTGTTCTCCAAGAACCGCCGACAAAACTCCGGGAAGGAGCCGCGGAAACCAGGAGTGCGCAGAGAGCGCAAGAATTGATAATAAGACACTGCTAGGTCCTTGGGATTCCGTGCCATGTACACCACCTAGCAGGGTCATGGCAGTCATTTTAGTTCTACTTAGAACTGATCCCACTCCAATCCCCACTTGGAACTGTAGCAACAGCACCGTCCGAGTATGTATAAGTGTACACCTCTTCATGAGTCTATGAAGATTTTTCAATGTTTGTGCACTTTCAAATTTTTAAATGGGTGTTTCTGATCTATGTCATATCACTTAATATGCATTGATAAGCTATTTTAGAGCATCTCTTTAACCAACTTTTTATAACCTTAATAAGTAAAACAAACCCTTGTCTATTACAATTTCAATAGCTCTGTTTGTTGAAGGCCTCTTGATCTTATATGCCTTTGCTCGGCAGCTGTGATTAAAAAAACAGTGGTTAAATCAACACTTAGGTTTGAGTTTACATTTATCTTTGGGTTAGAACAAGATGACCTGTTTGTACATTATTCACAAGGTAAAATAACGGCATTATTATAATAAAACACTGATGCCTACCAAGATAAGATGTGTACTTTCTATCGACGTGACTTTACTGAAAGAACCAAGAAGACAAACAGTGACGCTCCCATCTAAAACAAAAAATCTCCTTGAAGACATATGCAACGAGCCAATATTTTTCCCTGAAGACATATGCAACGAGCCAATATTTTTGTAAAATCCTGAGCCCTTGAGTATCATAGACTCCAAATGTGTAGAGCCTCCAGTAATAGTAAAAATAACAAGACAATAAATAACATAAATGACAGAGAACCTGTTCCTATTAAAACATTTAACTACGTTTGTATTATATATTCTTAGTTTTTTCGGTAAAGTCACGTTGAAGAGAAACAACAAAATAACCAAATATATATAAAACAATAAAAATTCTCACGACGTTTCGACCATAACTCAAACGGTCATCATCAGGTGTGTCGGTTTGCATAAATGTATTTTGAAAACGGCATATTTATTTATTTATATATATAAATTTCGTCTCCCCCCTCCTCTTTTCAAAAAATAGATGGACTAGTCCTGGCAAACAGCCAATCGTTGCGCGTGACGCAAACGTAATTTATATATATATAAATAAATATGCCGTTTTCAAAATAAATTTATGCAAACCGACACACCTGATGATGACCGTTTGAGTTATGGTCGAAACGTCGTGAGAATTTTTTATTGTTTTATATATATTTTGTTATTTTGTTGTTTCTCTTCAACGTGACTTTACCGAAAAAACTAAGAATATGAATTACTGCAGTCACGAAAGCTTTAAATCAAAATTTACGTTTGTATTGTTGGAATCACCAATATATTTGCTAGAGTGGCCACTGTTAATGCAGTACAGCAGATTTTAACAATCAGTTGAAGATTACACAAAATTATTATGAGCCTCATTGTGGAGAATATAAGTAAGAAAATTAAGATAGACAATACGTCTTTTTCATAGATGTCTCTCCACATAAAAAAGTGTGTTTTACACAACCCAATGCTCTATGGAATTCTCGGAATTTATAACTGCAGCAAAATTGACCCAAGACAAGCCAACTCTGGACCGACATAAAAATACCGTGTCTCATCAGCAGGCTTGCCTGAATCAATTCTGGTGAACTGCTAGATGTATGTAATGATTATTATTAAGTTTATACCTCATTAGTCGTTCCTGCGATGCCATGATACCTATTCAAGAAGCAGGGTCTGGTAACATAGTTATTCTGACTTTCTGGGTTCTAGTTTTTCTGGGTTCTGTCCTGAACATGCTTGGCATAGTTAAAATTGCCAGTGAGCTGCATGCAACATTAATAATTGTCGCGTTAACCACTTGTACACGAAATAATTTCATTCGTTTGGCTATGTTGGGTGGTGGAGAGTCTTGCAGCACACATTTTCCCAGATCGTTGTTGCCTAGCATAAAAATAAATTATTTATTGAAAACAATGGTGTGCATATGCATGTACAGAATGAAATGTAATCCACAGCAGTGATCCCACCTTGTCATGTTGAAACAGCTACACACCTGCACCAATTGTTCATACTACAAATGAACATGGATAAAACAAATTTCAAGGCTGTTATATTTAGCTCTAGGGTAAGGTCCTAAGTCGTTACACATAGTTAACTATCACCAAATCTCAACACCTTTGTATTTAACAAAATAATATTGACACTTGAGTCCTTTAAAGGAACAGTTATACTAATTCAGAAAAAGATCTCATAGTTGGCAATATTTTTATATGATGAAGGTCCAACATTTTTTAAACTATTAAATACAGATGTTTGGATGATTTGGAATGTGCTGTCAGTGGTATGTACAGGTACCTTGGCCTTGCTGTCCCACAGATCGCGAGGCAAGAGACCATAGGGCAGATGTGTTTTTATAATGCGCGGTGTAGTCAGTTCCTGATGTACAGAGGAATATGACAGGGAAAAATGCAAGACAATGAGGAAAGGTATTCTTGGTTCTTTCGGTAAAGTCACATTGAAAGGAAACAATAAAATAATAAAATATATAAAACAATAAAATTCTCACGACGTTTCGACTGCAACACAGTCATCATCAGTCGAAACGTCGCGAGAATTTTATTGTTTTATATATTTTATTATTTTATTGTTTCCTTTCAACGTGACTTTACCGAAAGAACCAAGAATATGAATCACTGCAGTCACGAAAGCTTTATATCAAAATTTAATGAGGAAAGGTGTACATTTTTCTAATACAATCTTCTAACTGACCATCTTATTTAAATATACGTAAACATTAGAATCGCATTTTTTTGTATCAATTATCGTGGTGGTCCCTTGAAGACGAATGCAGAGTACCGTAAGTATGTCGAGTCCCGGCTGCGGATGTTCCAACACTGGCATCTGTTCAGCTATATTCATGATCCCTACTTCAGCAGGGTCTACACCTTGTGATATTAGGAATACCATCTCTTGCAGCACACTTGTACCTAAATGCAAAAACAAAAGGTCATGAGTAGCCACGTAACAAACACATGAGTAAAAGTAGTTTACAAGATTTATTTCAAGTTTTCACGTTTCATTTATTAGGTATAGCCCTGTGAGCCATGCGGCTCTTAAGTCGGGTGCAACCGCAACAAACAAAATTTGAACACGGAGCATCTTAAAGCGACGACGCGTAACAGAAACATTCTGGAATAAACCAGCCAATATTCCACACACAAAAAAACGTATTAAAACGCTGTGTGCAAAAATCAATGTGGTGCAAGCCAACAACAACAACCAAAAGACAATTTGGATTAACCATATGTTTTCGAATCACCAAAATAAAGCTAAGAAAACAATGTAACAACAGTAATCATTTAATGTGAAGAGCAGTAAATTCTGAAGATGTAGACCAATTGACACAATCTTGCATATATTATCTGAGTTATTGCCATTAAAATATGTATTTGGCGAGATTTCCCATTCCATGTTGTGATTTGTAAGCGTATTATGCATTTTTATGTATTTGTCGATTGGTATTAAACCTCTTTCTTTTCATATTTAATAATATAAACTGGATCTCACCTGACTTTGGATAGGATGCGATCCACACATCATCTGGCCTCACAGGGAAGGATGCTATTGCTTCCAGACGACCTCGGCAGAATGGTGGGAGGCGTACACTGCCATGCTGAAAGTACTGCCACTGGAAGGTAGGTTGATCCATTTGTTTCACCCTTGCGAGAAAATAAAATGTCAAAGTAACACCTGCCCGACAGATCATGAGACTGCTGAAGTATGTAAATGTACGGATATGTTCATCAGGTATACATTATACTTGAATTATACTTTTAAGCATGGACAAAGGGTTGAAGCAGTGGCACATTGTTTAGCACATTGCGGTATAAACCCAGCAACACTGAAAATACATGTCCTGCTGTTTTTGTAAAAAAAAGATTACGTTGTGCCATCAAGTTATAAGGTCCGGAGAAGAGCCAAGAAGAGAGCCAGCTACCCCTGATGAGCATTCCTGTGACTCCAGCTTCATGATCAGATGAAGAGGCAGATTCTACCCCTTCCTCTGCATAATTTCACTACCGCTCACTCAAATAGACATCGATCAGAAAGCTCTTAAACCATGTCTGTTCAGTTTTATCCAATTATTTTATTTATTTATTATGAATGAAAATGCATATTCACTTATAATCATTTGAATTTGTGTGCACTTAATGACATTTATTGGCTAGGAATGTAACCAATGATGTTAACATTATGTCTATGGGAAATTAGAGTTTGCTTTAAGTCATTTTGAGTTAAGTAGCATTTCCCAGCAACGCCTCCCTTATGTATAATAATCCGGTCAGGACATTGGGGTGTTTCTCATATTCTCCCTTTTTGGAGGTGACAGCCAAGACAGACCCTCACAATGGCTTGCAGTTAATTTACATGATCCAAGCGGAACTCCCTTTTTAAAATCTCTTATTACCCATCCCGTACCTAATCTCGGGTGAGGAGTTATTGACCGGTATTGGAGGATAATTTAGCTAAAACTGGAGATATTTACGTACGTATATTTTATAATGGCAGTATTTAATAATTTTCGCCCATATGTAAATGAGAAAAAACCCATCACAACTGAAAATGATAGTGCAGGCTGGAAAACAAGACCAGGTTCCCATAGTGTAGAGGTAATCCATCTGCATGTATGGAGTTCAGAGGTATATGGCAGCAGAAAACATTGATGACTGTATTGTATTAATGGCTCTTAATAAGGATGAATCCAGTCTACAATACAGTTCCATCTGTGTTTCACTGCTGCCTGTTTGTGATCTAAATTATAAAATGGCCACAAATGGGGTTATTTTGAGCCCTATGTCTGCATAAGGTTCTTGTACATGAAATGCACAGCTCTGTGTGTTAAATCTATTTTTGCCAATTTAGGGAAATAATTGTACAGGAAAAGGCCTATAAAAATATTTAAATGAACCAAGGCCGTAATTATAATATATATTGGGGGGGGGGACACATTCCACCCCCCCATATTCAAATATGCTCAAAATGTCCCCCCCCCCCCAATATATTGCTATAAAATTGATTTCTGTTTACATGATTGTGGTTATGGTTGTACTTTATTAATCCCTAATCTCTGCCATTACATGCAATGAGACGAGAAAAAGTAAAATGAAAAAAAAAACAGAGCAATGTAATACAATACACTATTAGACATTTCGATTTAAAGCTTTCGTGACTGCAAGGATTAATCTTCTAGACCTGTTTCTTCACCTGAAGAAGGCCACTTGTGTTGTGACCGAAACGTCGCGAGAATTTTATTGTATTATTTTGTTTTATTGTTTTATTCTCATTCTACGTGACTTTACCGAAAGAACCAAGAAGACTTTTAGACATTATTGTAAAAAAATAAATAAAAAGTCCATCCTATGTGTTAATGATTTTTTTTAATCTTTTAGGCAGGGAATGAGTTTTCAAATCTCAATTTTTTCTGGGGGGGGGGACCCCCAGGCTCCCTGGAAGATTCTGTCCCCCCCAAATGTTGACTTCATTGCAACGACCTTGAAATGAACTGCCTGTAGACCGGAATCATAAAGTACACAACAATATATGATAAAAACATGTTTTTGCAGTCTTGTTGACGTGAAAACAAATGACAATAAAATAGCAATATCATTCAACCATGCAATTCTAATTTTGAATAGTGTGTGAATTGTCAAAATTGTAGTTTATGGAGAATCTAATTTTAAATAGAGTCTACAAAATCAATGGAGGACTGCTTAACAACACACAAACACTACATCGGTTCATAATTTATGGGGTACGTTGTGTTGGTACATTTTTTTATTGTGGCCCCCCACCCAACAGAGCCAATCAAATCAGGTTTTGATGGTGAGAGAATTATGCCAATTGATTTGCTTTACAGTTTCAGCAAACCCTGAATGTTGAAAAACAAGCTAAATGTTTCTTTTTTGTACAATTTGGCATTATACCGACACGTTCTAAACCAAACTACAGCAATTTCGAATCATATTGGTCGTGAAAGCCGTATGAAATGAAACGCCACATTGCTCTTTAAAAAAAAAACAGCACACGAGGTGCGGAAACCGTGATGCATGCGTGACATTCGCACATGCACAATCCCAATGGAGCACACGGTCCACCGCAGGTCCGCGTCGTCCGGGGGGTGGTCAAGAGCTGCTGCAAGAGCGCTACGTCCCCGCTCACCACTTCCCTCTGCCCGAGCTGCGATTTCGTTTCCCCGAATGAATGTTCATCAATTCCACGAGCAGTTCGTTCCGTCGTTTCATACACACGCAGAACCACTGCTTCTCTGAACGGTGGGGGGCTGGGGGGGCTTTTGTATCCTCCGACGCGTATCTCCTTCTTGGCAGTCGCGGAGTAATTGGAGAACGTACGTCATGTGCCATTTCCGACAGAGGTCGGATTGCTCCGGATGTGGCACAGCATTAATGCTTTTGTCTAAAGACACAGCAGTGGCAACGTGGACGCTGCGTCGCTAATGGATACTCGAGTACTGTATTTATACAACGCCGTAGGCTAGCTAGCACTGCACAATAGGTGGAATTCGCTAGCGTTAGATGGGGGCACACGTGTGCGTGCGTCTGGCACAATGAGTGGCATTTTTCCGAGACGCGCGGCAGGTACAGGTCTGTAACGCAAGCTGAGTGGCAGTCACGCCACGCGCGGTGCTGTCACGCCACGCGCGGTGCTGTCACGAACACGCGCGGTGCTGTCACGAACACGCGCGGTGCTGTCACGAACACGCGCGGTGCTGCCACGAACACGCGCGGTGTTGTCGCGTCGCGTGGATGGAAGGCCGACGGTGTACCTCGAGGCGCCGTCCTAGGGTCGGGCTCTGGGCTCCATGCTGCGCGTTGAGCCGCGCGTGGATCGGTCGCGTGTTTCCCGCAATTCTTTCTCTCTCTCTTTCTCTCCCTCTCCGGGGCCGCTTTGCCAACCTCCCTTGGTCAGGCTCGCCGAAACAACGTCCAACGATAGCAGGGATGGCCACGTATTCGTTTTGTCCCACGCCGAAGTGCGCTCGGCGGAGAGAGAGAGAGGAGGGACGGGGGGGGGGGGGTGACCTCTGAGCGCAGCGTCGAGCTCCTCACACACACCACATCCCCCCCCCCCACCTCCTGTCACGGCGTCGTCATTGTGAACCGACGCTTCCCACTTCGACGTTCCTCGCGGCGTGTTGCGGCGTCGCTCCCCTCCCCATTGGCTACACTGGGCTCATGCATGCAACGCCTCTGCCCTTGTTTCACGCACTGCGAGCCCGCTTGCCCGGAGCGGGCTCGGCCAACCACGCGCCGTCATCCAACGACCCCACCCCGGGGGGGGGGGGGGGTGGGATGATCGGAACTGGCGCCGAGCAAACGATGGTTGTAGCAGGGACGTGCGGGTCAGGGGAGGCAAGGGAGGCAGAGCCTCACCTGTCATGCTCCAATGGAAATAGCTGTTACGAAAATAATAATATAAAATGAATATTAAGATTTTTACACTGATATGTGTTATAAATGTCATTTCTGTACGATTCCAATCATTTTTAAAGTCAAAATCGCCAAATTTGCAGAGCTCCGCTGCAAATACAGGAAGAGACGAGAGGTGAGGCAGCGACGAGCTCAGCCTCCCCTGTGATTGCACAACCCCTCAGTAACTGGATGGAGCGCGGGCAATAAGCGCGTGCCTGTTACTATCTCAGTATGTCACCAATGTAATGTTTGTAGACCCCTTCATTTCATGTCCTCGCCTTCCATACTCCAGGTAATTTCACGTATATGTATAAAGATATTTAGGCTTGCTGGTCTCGTCATGAAACTGCAATTTAAAAGCACCAGGGGAGGCAGCTATCACGTCTGCCTCACTGAGGGGGGACGTGTCTAACACGCCCCCCCTAAGTGAGGCCACGCCCCCTCAGTAAGGCCACGCCCCCCTCAGTGAGGTCACGCCCCCCTCAGTGTGTGACTCTGGCTCTGACACTAGCCAGTGCCTCCTCAGCCACTGATCCACCGCACGTCACTGCGGGTTAGGTCACTTTATGGCAAAATTGATCATTTAATGGCAGCACGATTATTGATGTTATTGTCTGTCAAACAATGCTATTAATTTCGTATCGATTATTCGCGTGTTAAATGCAATTATTAACGCGTTTGTTTGTGTAAATTATTGTAAGCACAATTGCTGCTTTTATTTTTCTCCAACAATGCTGCAATCAAATTTCGATTTAAAGCTTTCGTGACTGCAAGGATTCATCTTCTTTGGTTCTTTCGGTAAAGTCACATAGAATGAGAATAAAATAATAAAATAAAACAAGACAATAAAATTCTCACGACGTTTCAGCCACAACACAAGTAGCCTTCTTCAGGTGAAACAGAACTGTCGGGACGACAGAGCTTGAATGAACGCTGTTAAGATTCGTAGCGTCTTTTAAGCTCGGTGAGAGGCGTGGAGAGCCTTGACAAAGGAGTTTAATATCAAAGCAGGAGAATTTAGCATTGAAATAGCTGAGGGATTGGCTTGTGACAGAAATAGCTGTGTAAAAGTCAAAGTTTACATATCAACAGAGGCATTTAGTATATGGACGCTAAAGACCTCCAACTACCAACTATCATAAAGTAAACCGATGTGAAAAAACTAAATCTATATTACATCAATATAATAAATGTACTTAATATATTCTTCAATAAGCTGAGCTATTAATCACAAAGCAACTGGGTATACACTACACTATATAATGAATACTATATAGTAAACCAATAAAAAAAAGAAAATATAAGCTCCCTCAATGTTATCAATAAACTCTATATACTCTCCAATCAGCTGAGCCACCAACAATAAGTCGTTATATATCAATGCCATATGGCGAAAAATGGTGTTTTTTCTTCCCCTCAACGCCAGCACCACGGACAGCGACGTTCAGGCGGACGAGTCAATCCATGCTCGGCACGGAGGAGGGGGGAGAGGGAAACAACTACAATGCGCTGTTATACTCCATGTCATAAATCATACCATTAACCGTGGTGTGAGAGGTATTAAGAGGCTTAGTAACCATTGGAAATATGTTTTAAACCATTTCGGTTCTTAATTAATTGTATTTTACGGTGACCGTCAGACCGCAGCTCTTTCGCTGGCATTGCCTCTTAATACCTCTCACACCACGGTTAATGGTATGGTTTACAACATGGAGTATAATAGCGCCTCGCAGCTGTCTCTCTCCCCCTCCTCCGTTCCGAGCATGGATTGACTCGTCCGCCTGAACGTCGCTGTCCGTGGTGCTGGCGTTGAAGGGAAGGGAAAAAAACAATTTTTCGCCATATGGCATTGATATATAACGACTTTTTGTTGGTGGCTCAGCTGATGGAGAGTATATAGAGTTTATTGATAACATTGAGGGAGCTTATATTTTGGTTTTTTATTGGTTTACTATATGGTATTCATTATATAGTGTAGTGTAGACCCAGTTGTTTATAATTAATAGCTCAGCTTATTGAAGAATATATTAAGTACATTTATTATATTGATGTAATATAGATGTATTTTTTCACATCGGTTTACTTTATGATAGTTGGTAGTTGGAGGCCTTTAACGTCCATATACTAAATTCCTCTGTTGATATGTAAACTTTGACTTTAACGCAGCTATTTCTGTCACAAGCTAATCCCTCAGCTATTTCAATGCTAAATTCTCATGCTTTGATAGGTAAACTCCTTTGTCAAGGCTCTCCACGCCTCTCACCGAGCTTTAAAGACGCTACGAATCTTAACAGCATTCATTCAAACTCTGTCGTCCAGTCAGTTCTGTTCTTTCACCTGAAGAAGGCTACTTGTGTTGTGGCCGAAACTTCGTGATAATTTAATTGTCTTATTTTATTTTATTATTTTATTCTCATTCTACGTCACTTGATCGAAAGAACCAAAGAAAATGTTGCAATCGCGTCAGTTGTTAACCCTGTTTTACGCAATAGTTGCATCTTCAGATTCGTAAACAGCCATGATCTAATGCATTTCTTCATGCGAAACCCAAAGTAGTTCGCGTACAGGGTAGGTGGAGGCAAGGGGCTGAGGTGACGAAATCGAGAAATTACACAAGCTGTCAGTGATGTGTGGATTGAGACGACACATCGAGTAGTAGTATAAGTGACGACGCATTTGTGAAACGACGTAAAATTGGGCGACGCAAATCGGGGTATTACGGTATTTCCTTTAAACGCAGTGTTATTTATGAAAGTGTTTGGTTATTATGTGCGTACATGCACCACTGCCCACCCCTGTTTATCCACCAGAACACATTTGTTTTATATTGTGTAGATAAGAGGAAATCAAAGTAATTTTTCTAAAGACATTGGATATGTGTGAAGTCATTGAACAACTGGGATGTATTTATTTCAATACAGGTTTTGAGGTCATAAACAAAGGTTTTTTTTCAAAATGTACCTCATGCTCAAGGTTAACTATGCAATAAACCCTCGGTAATTTTTCAAATTTGAATAACTAGAATTTTGGCGGCCTACAGCTGCCTTATTCTGGCTTCTGCAGAGGGTTTCTCGGCACTTCGCACCTCGCCCGTGGCCCCCACTGACGTTCTCTTCTTCCCCCGCCAACCCCCCCCCCCCAATGTGTGCAGATACTGCACACATTGGGGGGTGTGTAGGCATATATGACTACAAAATAAATGTCTTTCTTTTGGGTGGGGGGGGGGGAAGTCGACAATTTTTGGAAACCTATTTTATCAACTTTTTACCCCCACATCTGGTGGGGGGGAGGGGGGGGTTGAATTTCTATAACATTTTGATTCAGGGCTTCGAACAGGCTCTTATAATTGAGTTGATAGAAAAAGAAACGCCGGGCTTTTAGAATAGACTGAGCATCCTTCTTCCTGTTGGCGGCCTACAGTCTTGAGAATGTGTTCTCTTACATTTTGGGTTGAAGATTCTTAACACAATGAGGTCTTCTATACACAAACCTCAATAAAACACGAGTCTCAAATCCAAACTAGCAAATGCCACCATGGGTTCTAATTAGGGTCGAATTTCTTAGTCCATATTTTCCACAACGCTGCTAAGCAAGCTTGGAAGATGGATAATCGCCATAAAGCACTACCACTAGAGTACACGGAATGCCTATCCATAATAATCCTACATTATTAAATTCTATATTGCTATAATGCTATAGATTTCTATCGACTCGCATAGCAGCTTTTGACAGGTGGCCTCTTTCTCGCCACATAAGACATATTTCCACTGTTTCTGGACAAATGTCTTAAGATGCAGTCGCATTTACAGGAATTATAACTCCACTTTGTATCGCTTTGGTTTTTCTCTGGGTCCTCTGGGTTTTCTCTTCACATTTAGAAACATGCGTTTCGAGTTTTTTTCTGTTATAAATTTCTACGTGATAAGCCACTGCATTGAGCTATCATTTGTGGCCAGGTCGCTTCTGAAAAAGAGCTATAGAGCTCAGTGGATCTTACCTGGTGTGGGGGACTGAAAAGAGAATTCATAAAATAGGCACGTTGGGATAATTAAGGGCAGGTGCCACTGTCGGGGTGGAGGACACTGTCCAATTAAGGGGCAGAGCGAGGCCGTTTGCCGGGACCAGACCTGCAAAGATGGAGGACATCGGGGCTGACGGTTCGCGGAGTTGTATCTACGATTCAACTACGAAAATAAAGACTCACCCTCTTTCTAAATGGACGTCTCGAACGAGCTTCTGTACACTGTTGAAATACAAAATAAATCGTTTTATAGTTTAAACTCGACATCCGGCAAAAGTGGCACAAGCGGGTCTCCGTGTGCATGTATAATGACGACTTGACACACTTCTCTCGAGATGGCACTTTATTGAAGACACGTTCACTTGACATCAGGCAGAGATCCCCACTGCAACAGCCCAGACTCTCCCGCGCATCACCCTTGTATCTCAACACGAGGCCACGCCCCCCCCCCCCCCCTCGATCATTCTCGCTGACTCTAGACGCTCGCTACACCGGCAGACTCTACCGTTCTCTTCCATTTCCTGACCATGCTCCCTTCTCGAACATTCCCGTAGCCATCAGTCCCTTTGCACTCACAACTGATACCCCTGTCATTACCTCCCGTGGCCACTAGTGTATTCGTACTGTCGGCTGACCTCCCTGTCATTACCTCCCGTGGCCACTAGTCCCCTCACACCTCATGCAGGCTCTATTGTCATTACACATGCTCTGACATTGGTCCCTACACAATATCCCCCATTGTCCATAATAGAGGTTTTTTTGGGTTAGATCGCGTAAATATATGTGGTGGCGGATCATT